AGTTACGAAATTGCATACCGTTGTGATGTTCAAGGTTTCGAGGAATTTCATTGAAAGCTGGATTTTGTTTGACGATGTCAATAACAACAGTACATGCATGCCTTAAAGAATCAAATAACAATAATAATAATAATAATAATAATAATAATTAATAAATAAATTGCAGGAGATGCTATGAAACGGATTTGCATACAGGTCCATTTTTAGCAGAACGATGTTCGCATTCATCTTGCTATCATGCTCGTAGAAAAGTGATGTTCGTTTTTGGAGGTTGTACATCAACTTATACTGCATTCAACGATCTGTGGACTTTCGACTTGGTTCGTTCAAGCATCATGATTTTTTATCGAATTTTATATGCATTCTCATTCACCGAGTGCATAAGGTTTTGCAAGCAAATTCTGTCTTGTTGTTAGCTAGCCATATTGAAACTTTTTCCGTCTAATGGGAAAAATTCGATGACGTAACAAATCGAAATATCAGCGAAAAATGTTTCAGACATGGCACACATGGTCTCGCGTTGTTGTGTCACGTGCGCCTTTCCCAAGTCCCAAAGCGCTGGCCACTTTGCTGCCCTATGGTGATAATCTTCTTCTATACGGTGGATTCTCGAAATCCTCTCCGAATCCGATCCATCAAACATCGACATTCTATAATGAATTACATTTGTATAGTGCAGATAAAAATCAATGGATTGAAGTGAGTTTTGCTTCGTAAAATTAGTTCAGATTAATACACAACATTTCATCTTTCGATCAGATATTCTCTGCAGTCTTCTTCATTGAATGAGTCTCCGAAACTGAAAACAATTTCAGATAATCACCGAGAATTCAGCACCAAAATTGGCGAGTCATTCGGCATCGATAGTTGGTGATTCGATGATTGTATTCGGTGGTTCGATGGGCAATTGTTCATCGAATGAAATATGGGTGTTGGACATTCCTGGTCGAGTTTGGTTGCAACCGCAAATCGCTGACGGGTAATTACAATATCCATTTTCTTGTCGCATTATCAACTTCATATTATTCCTAGAACATCACTCTTTGAGTCGAAACATTATCAGAGTTATTTCATGCGAGATTTTGGTAATTCCCTTATCAGCTGCAGAAGAAGTGTTTGATCAGTAGACATCCACCATATATATTTACATATATTCTGATTCCGTATCGGGAAGTGCAAACAAATTCCAGTCATGAAAAAAACCCTCTAATATATAGTTGAAAATATTATCATTGGACTGATTGCAGACGTCGTCCATCGGCTCGTTATGGTCATTCGCAGGTGCTGTTGGATTCGAATCATTTGTTGATAGTTGGTGGTTGTGGTGGTCCGAACATGATCTACAGTGATGCGTGGTTATTGTGTTTCGATGTCTCGATGTCAACAGTTTGGGAGTGGCACGAAGTCAAGGTATTTAAGTTTTTCATTGATTTTTTTTTGGTAAAGCTGACGAGTTATTCCTGTGATAGAGTATGAAAACACTGTTGATTCGAATGTTACCTGAAGAACTGAAGTAATTCTCGGGAAAAGGAAAGCAACATTGATAAAAACTCTATGCTGAAAAGTTCGATGTGATAAGTGAGTTGCAGATATTAAATCCAGAGTCGTCAGCACCTCAGCTGTGGTGTCATGCTGCATGTCGCGTTGGCAAAAATCTGGTTGCTTTAAGCCGTACACTCAAAAAACCAAAATCGTGTTCTGATTTCAGGTTTGTATTCTTTTTTTTNTGAGTAACAACGATTTTGATGTAGCAGAATCTACGCTATGCATTCTTTGGTCTATAAAAAATTTTTTTCTCTAAAACTTATCATGAATAGCTCAGCATCTTTTCCAAAGTGTAATGATTTTCTTCGAATTGGGTCTAATTGGTTTTCTACAACCGAATTATTCCTGTGACGAGAATGAATAATTTCAGAGATATGAGTATCGGCACGCCACCGACCCCACTGAATGTACGATCAGCACTATTGACCGAACGTCGTGTTGCTGAAACAGTGGCGTTGAGGAGTGGTACGATGAACTTGAGTAATAACAATCGATCATCGACAACCAACGAGAGCAGCTCGAATCTGCAACCGAGTACATCCTCTTCGAGACGACGGAATTTAATCACTTCGAAATCACTCGATGAGCATTTTGAAGTGGTGAGTAGTTGCTGTTTATCGATGGATGAGACCAGTTTATTGGAGACTTTTGCAGGATGATCGAGAAGGTGATGATGCGATGCGACGATCGAACGATGGTGATAGCAACAAGTTGAGTGTTGCTGGAAGTGGTGTGGCATCGAAGAATACGGAACTGCAGCGAGCCAGATCAATACCAGCGATAATTGTTGGTGAGATACCGAAACTCGTCGTGACTTCTTCTGAGGCAACTGCTTCGACTGCAAATCGACAGTCACCGCCAAGTGAACGTTGCTCAGTACCATCAACACCCTTCACTAACACCAGTCAAAGTACTGATGACAGCAGGTTGTTAAATATGTCATAAGGTTTTTGCACTTGGTTCATTTGAACAGTCTCATCAAAAATTATTTTCATCATCTTTCGATTGTCGACAATTCATGAAAGTCCGAATTTTGAGCTTTGATGTTTGTCTGCATTTTTTGTTGAGTCGTTCATTTTAT